ATACCAAAATAATTTTATCGAGTAATTTATCCTTAAACGTCCAACTCTTTTAAACCTAAATATCAGAAATCGTGCATAGATAACACAGACCAGGGTGGGACGAAATCACGCAGTAGCAAGGTGCAGTAAAAAGTAAAAGGGTCGGTTTATCGCTCGTAAACATGTGTCGTGGGTTTGTGCAGTTTAAGCTCGAGAAATTTCACCCTAATTGTAAAAGAAATAAGGAAACAATTAAGGCTGCCTTTTGCTGCACTGAACGATGACATCTTGATTTTTTCAAAGGAAACAGGATTATTCTTAATTCCAGTTTACTATTAAAAAAGTGTAAGATTAAAGTTTAAAGAACATACACGAACGTAACAAGGATGTTGAAAAAAAGGTGGATGTAACGTCACTTACAAAAGATTGAATCACCAAAATATAACATAATATAACATCACGCATTTTATCCCCGAAGGAGTAATACCACAGGGTGTTTTTATTTTAAAAACCCTGTAAAGCTTTGCCCAACCTGAGAATCGATATGTAGGTTGACGTTTTAAAAATACCAAAGGACAATGCCAGGTGCTCAGTACATCTTTGACCCACTATATTAGAAGTCATGTACAAGTATGTAATATTCAGCATCGTGTAGTGTATTAATTACCGATACCTAAACATTTGTCCTGAAACCTGTAAAACTTGCTGTTTTTGTTTAAAACACAAAACAATAATGATAAATAACCCGAAAACAACGGAAACGCAGAGAGCGAATGAAAGATAATATTGACACTGACAGCTGACAAGCTCTTCAAAACGTTTCGTTACACATAAAAATCATAACTAATGGTAGTAATCGTTTCTTTTATACTTTCGTGATTTTATCTGTAATTATTAATAAATAAATAAATGTTATACATAATTATACTTTTGATATAATATTTTATGTGTAATGATATATTTTTTACAGTTACTTACTTTTTTATTTTCATAGTTTCGTACAAGCGATGCGTATGATGTAACGCAAATAGTCATTAGACAATATGGAAGACGCATTGCAAAAAAGTATTTCCGCGATTGAACTTCTTTTTTTATTAGATTGCAAACCGCAAGTTTAAAAAATAAAAAGAGATATTGTGAAAAGGTTCCTTATTCGTCAAAATTATTTTCATCAATTTACTTTTTTTGTAAATGATATTATGACTGGGTCAGGATCTGGCATTGTCATTTATATTATTGTGTTTGAGTTTTGTCGGCAATACCCATAGAATGGATTATCATGAGTTGTTGATGTGTAAACTCGGTGTAAAACACCAGACTTCTAGATTGGATTTCTAACACTACTATTAAAAATTTAAATACACATAATGAGTTCGTTATTTAAAGCATTCGTTTTAGAAAGATGATAATATTGTCTTCACTTCACACAGTCACTGTCTGCTTTGGTGTCACAGCCAGCATCTAACATGCGCTAACTAAGTTTGTACTATGGCTCTGTAGCAACTGAAATCGATTCACTAGATGTGAGGATTAAGTCATAAGTCAAAGCAAGAGATTATTCATGTGTAGTATGCTCTCACATTATGTGGTAAAGGGTCTTCGCATGTAAGCTGGTTGCAATAGTGTTTTAATAAAAATATACGATCTACCGAACCAAAACGAATTCTTGGATTTGCCAAATCATTGACATCTAGGGCCTGTTCGTCTCTCATTCACAGGGTGTAAACGAAACGCTCCCGACAAATGCTGACAAAAACATAGTCGATTTATTAGTCGTTTTGTTTATGTATTATTTATGCAACATCAGCATTGAGCGGTCGACTCTTCTTTACTTTTATGAGAATAAAACGTGTTTTTGACCATCAACTGTCGGCGTTTTCCGGTAGAGTTTCGGTTACGCTTCGTATATACTCTTTATATCCTATCCTGTATGACTACTTATGTGGCAAATCATCACCGTCATCATTATTAACAGCCGGAAGACGTCCACTGCTGGACAAAGCCCTCCCTGTAATCCTCCACGTTGAACGACCACTCGCCACCTGCATCCACTGGCTCCCCGCAACTCTGGCGATGTCGTCAGTCCACCTAGCGGGAGGCCTGCCCACGCTTCGTCTTCCGGCCCGTGGTCACCACTCAAAGACTTTCCTAACCCATCTGCCGTCAGTCCTTCGAGCGACGTGGCCTGCTCATTGCCACTTCAGTCTGCAGATTTTGCGAGCTATGTCGGTAACTCTAGTTCTTTGGTGAATTTCCATATGTCGGATTTTGTCGCGCAAAGAAACCCCGAGCATAGCTCTCTCCATCGCACGCTGAGCGACTTTGAGCGTGTCCAGAAGGCCAGAGGTCAGGGACCACGTCTCGGTACCATACGTCATCACCGGCAACACACACTGGTTGAACATCCTGGTCTTTAGGCACTGAGGGATTTTCGATGAGAAAATTTTGCATGAGTACCCGAACGCTGCCCATCCGAATGGGATTCTTCGGGCAACCTCTTTGTCGAAATTGGACTTACCTAGCTGGATAATCTGCTGGATGTAGTTCATACAAATAACATTCTATATTATCTGATAGATAGAGTACATTATAGAAAGTTGGATATCGCTGTGTAAAAGGTTTAGGTTTAGCAGCGAACGTTATTGTTGCTGGTTTAGAACCTTTAAGGGAAATGATGTCCCCTCAGTAAAACGCTGTCGCCTATAACTCACCTACGATCACGAACATGTCAAACGTGGGACTTTGCACTCAACTTTCCTTATTAGATTGTTTTGTTCCGTGCCTTCTTAATTAGTACAATTACGCATCTAGTTTCAGTAATGTCGTTTTAAATTCATAACTTTATTGGTTGCTGCACTGTGTAAACCGATTGCGTCAGTAAAAGTTGTTCTTTATGATAATGTTCCTATGTTGATCAGTTTTAATTACAACACACTGTGTTGTTTCTTCGAAGTTTCTCAGTGTCGTGTATATTCTTGGGTTTATGTTCACCGTATTAACTTTGGGATTCGAGACGAGTTTTTGCACGTAAGACTTCTACTAAATTCAGGTAATTACTAATCAATTTATGAGTTCAAACTGATTACATCTTTTCATAATGTTAGATGAAATTTTGATTGACTGTCACTTAGGTACTTCTATAGATACAATAATTAATATTTCTGTGGCTGCTTCTGCCACAAACTCGTTCAAGGCGTTAATGATGTCGTTGTACTTTTTTTATTTTTGCAAACTATGTGACTAAGTAAATCGTTGTACTAAATTATTAATTAAAAAAACAATTATCATGATTTTGTAATAACTATCGTGAGACGTGCTAAATTAACTAAAAATTACGAGTTACTCACTTAAATATACTGAGAAAAGCTCTACTAGTTTCGAGTCATACACTAGTTTCCTCATGAGCAGGGTGCGCGTAGGATGCGCGACATCGACTGTAGGTAAATATTACCATATTATTACTATTTTATCCCTCTTAAGTATCTAACAGTAAATTGAAGAAGAATGAGTGCTCCCATAACCGATACACAGATCAACTATCCACGAAGATTTAGCATCAATTCAGCTATAAAAGGGTCGTAGACAGCTCCCTCTCTGGTGAGCTTACAGCTAAGCTGTTGAGGCGACTAATCGCTCGGCGCACGAGTGTCGACACAATTAGAGTACCTACGGAATGTGTTAAATGTATTGCGGCTTAGTGCACTTAAAGTGAATGCCTCGTTGGTGTATTTGTGGTGTCGTCGCATTTTCAGGAAAATGTGGTACATGTGTTCTTAGTTTAGTGGCATTTGAATGCATAGTTGGCTCAGTAACGCTGCTCAACGTGCTAGGGGTTACATCCTCGCACGGACCCAATACTAGTTGTATATTGGGTAAGTAATGAATTTTTATGTAACATACAAAATATTGTTTCGGGTCTGAGTGTCATCAACAGCCTATAGAGCACTGCTGAGCAAAGCCTCTTCTCACACGGAGAAGATTTGAGCATTAATCACCACGCTTGCTCATACGGATTGGCGATTTCAAACTTTATCAAATTTTTCACAATGTTTTGCTTCACCGTTTGTAAGTGGTGTTTGAATAATTTTAGAAAGTACATATGACTCGGAAAATGTTACATTGGTACTTTTCCTTGGTAGGTTTCTAACACGCACCCTCATGCATAAGAAGCGGGCGTCTTAACCTCCAGCCCACCACGACAGTCTGAGTATGACTGTACCTAAATATCTTCGAGAACGGAAAAAGAGGCAAGCAGCGACGCTTATAACGAAATATAATAAGTAATGGTCCTTCACTCACCCTTCCAAGAAATAAAAGCGTAATATTAACATAACGAAACAAAGAGTCATCTTAATCAACGACTTAATAGGGTGAATTCACGGGAAAATAAACCTAAGCACCACAACAATAATAGCCACATTAGCTGAATAATGTACGTAATGACGGACATAAATATACAGAGAGTGGTTATATTAGATATTTAAGCTGATAGACTGTAGACGTCACCTGTTGGACGTCGTACTGAAATTTTATGTTTATTCACAAATAGTTTTTACCTTTCATTCATTATAATAGTTGTTATTTTCCACGTCTTTTTATTGATGTTTCTCATAAATGTTTAAATGAAAAGTAAGTTTCAGTCCAGGCACTAGTGCTGCGAAGTGGCGCCTTTTGAACTGGTCTTTTTTTATTAAACAATATAAACTTCATGATTTCAAGCAGAAGGTTCGTGAGCGACTCCTGACGAGGTTGGCTGCTTCATCACACTGACTATACCTTATGTATTTTATGTATATATGTATGTATGTATCTATGTGTGTATATATATATACATATTATAGTTATATAGTATGTATTCTTCAATATATATATAGTTGTATTGTAGTATATATATATTGTGTATATTGTCGAATTATATATGTGTTCTTTCAAACAATTAAATTCAAAGCATGTTCTTGCACCCGCTGATTACTTTCTCTGCATCACCCAAGGGTCAGACTGGTAGAAAATGCCTGCGGCATTAAGTCCACCCATGTACTTGTTTGTGTGCATAAAGTTTTTTAAATAAATAAATAAATACTAAGTTCTTAACTGTATTATATTGTATTGTACCTTATATTGACCAGCACAGTTAAAAGATGTAGGTCAACAAAAGAATTGTTTTTCTTAAACTGTCAAACACCAAGCGGTCACCGGTGACCGCAACCTATTGTTCTATAATTGTGTCTACAAAACCGGTACTCGACGAGTTAAACAAAGACAATATAGGAAAAGCTTTAAAAAATCTCTCTCAATATTTCAAAAATACTCAACATAACGTAAGGGACCGGTTAACGTAACCTTTTCAATCCTCAACTCAACAGATGGTACGTGAGTTATCAAATGTAAGCGTCCTCAATTATTTTGGTACATTGGCTGACCCTGCGTTCTGCTTCATAGGAACAACGTGACTTCCAACACTGACCGTTTTACCCAACTACAAAAAGGTATTTTCCTTATTGTTAAACTCAAATTTTATGGCTGAAAAATTTAAGGGTCTGTAGGTATATCAATTCATAAATAACGTATCACGGCTCTGTATGGGTTTAGGAATTGTTACTGTTCTAAAACTTACTGTTGCCCGCGAATTAGGCGCGTAAAATATGATCCCGGTTTTAGTCCATAGAAGCATTTAATCAGGATAAAGTATTCTATCACGTAAGTCAGCCCATATCCTGCCAATATACCAAATTTTATCAAAATCCGTTCAGTACTTTCAGCGTTGTTTTTTTTTATTGCATAAGCCGGTAAACGAGCAGCCGGATCACCTGATGCTAAGCAATCGGCGTCGCCCATGGACACCTAGAACACCAGAGGCGTTAGAAGTGCGTTACCGGCCTTTTGGGGATTAGGAGTTTGAGAATCGTTGGGGATTCAGGGATTGGGGAGATTGGGGGAGGGGAGGGTAATTGGGCCTCCGGTAACCTCACTCTCACGACGAAACACAACGCAAGCGTTGCTTCACGTCGGTCTTCTGTGAGGCCGTGATATCACTCCGGTCGAGCCGGCCCATTCGTGCTGAAGCATGGCTCTCCCACACTTAAATTGATGGACAAACATCGAAACTTTCGTGATAGTATGAATGTAATTGTTTGTCAGAATGATTATCTGTGTCATAAACCAAATAATTCTAATCGCTAAAAAAATCTCTCTAACCTCAAAAAAAAACAAACTACGGTTTTGACATTAATGTACTCATGGTCATGAAGCCTCTAGCATGGTTTGAAACTAGTCGAGTTACTCGTCAAACAATTACATGAGTAAGCCGAAAAAAAAACATAAGAAATTAACTTGCCGCCTCATAATAACCATCATTAACAGCCTACAACTGGCCACTGCTGACCGAAGAAAGGCCTCTTCTAGCACGGAGAAGGTTTATGCATTAATCACCACGCTTTGTCAATGCAGGTTGGCGATTTCAAACTTATAATTAGAATTTATAAGCCCCGGTTTCCTCACGATGTTTTCCTTCACCGTTTGCCAGTGGTGTCTAGGTAATCTTTGAAAGTACATATAACTCGGATAAAGTCTCATTGGTACTTGCCGTTGTTACTTGCTACCTACTAAATAATAAATTATAAAAACGCGATAATTTACATGAAACAGAATGTTTGAATGAATTTCAGTTACCTAGCTATCAGAATATAATACATATAATGTTAATAAATCATTGTGTACTTTGAACTGTCGAGAAATAGAGGTATTCATAATGCGTAATTACCATTCATTTGAAACTTATATTCATTAAGTATAATCTATCTATATAAATAAAAATTAATTTCTGTTCGTTAGTCTCGCTAAAACTTCTCGAGTTCAGCTTAACCGATTTGGCTTATTTTGGTCTTGATAGGTTCGTGGAAGTCTAGGGAAGGTTTAAAAGGTGAGAAAAAACTTTTAGGCGGTACGAAGTTTGCCGGGCCAGCTAGTCTAACATAAAGACGGTCCTCAATTGATTTTAAATGGAAAAGGTTTCCGTTTGGATGCCGATATGGATACCACGGCGGCCAATACTCAATTTTTTAACAATATGAAACTTTTACATACAATTTAAAAGTTTACATAAAATGGAATTACATACAATTTAAAAATTGTTTGTATATAAGAGTATCTATTGAAAAAAAAACTGCGCTTAAATAACCGACTTCAAACCATTATTTTTGAGGTCGGTTAATTAATATACTATCTACAACATTTCTCCTAAGTATAACAAACATTTATCTCAAAACCGCATCAAAAACGGTTCAGCCAATCGAGAGATATTTGCGCACAAACATACAAACATGCATACAGGTTAAACTGAGAATCTCATTTTTTGAAGTCCAAATTAAATATTCCATGGTCAAACACGAATGAGCAATGATCATCACGAGGGAATACAATCTAGTGTGATCTCGTCCTTTTTAACGATATTCATCTCAATCCGAAAATGGGCTAGATCTCGCAAGATTAACGAGATCACTGTAGTAAAAGGCTTTTGTTTGATATTAGAAAAGAAGATTGCCTCGTTGGCCGAGTGGTCGCAAGTGCGACTGCCGGGCAAGGGATCTCGGGTTCGATTCCCGGGTCGGGCAGAATATTACTGGATTTTAATAAAAACTCGGTAGTAGCACGGAGTCTGGAATTGTGCCCAGTATATGGCAATAGGCTCACCCCCTATTACACGGGACTCATAACATAAATAGTGAAAA